TAGTTATTGGTACTGAAGCCCCACTACGGGCCATTTTTTAATAGTGCTTTCGCTTTAAATATCTCAAACGGAATACTTCGAAACCTGCAGCAATTATTCCAGCATTACTCAGACAGCCTACCCAGGATTCCCAGAACAAGAACAATGCGAAGAAAAAGCAGAGAGGAGGAGATGATGCCATCGCATAACAAACGCCACCTTATAATAGTAGCGGTCACGTCCTAGAAGTACCTCAACAACCGCGGACACCCAGAAATGGAGAAGCGTTTTTGGGATTCATTAAGGTCATGAATACGATAACTATAGAATACAGCTAGTTGAAGCACTACATACGGAAGCATTCATACTTTGCGGCAGCGTTGAGCGTTTTCAGCGATAATCGATACCTTTACATTCCTACCTTCAAAACACTCAAAACGCTGGCGCCAAAGTGCTGGGGGACGTTGAAAACGCTGGATGGACAGCTAACCATGCCAGCAGCTGGAAACGCTCAGAACGCTGAAAACGTTGGATGGACAGCTAACCATGCCAGCAGCTGGAAACGCGCAGAACGCTGAAAACGTTGGACGCCCAAAACGCTGCCGCAAAGTATGACCGCATTCTTAGCATTTGCAACGTTTCAGCGATTAGTGAAGGAGCTCGGTATTTAGCAATCGGGCGATTGGGGAATCGCAGGTCTGAATCGCTCGTGCCACACTGTATGGACAAGTAAAAGAACATCTAAAAACTAGCAGTTGACTAGCAAACAGTTTAGGCAGTGTTCAGACCGCGACGGCAACGCTTCGATCGCGCGTCGACGCGATCGATGCGCATTCTTTCGACTGCATTGATCGCGTTGGACGCGCGACCGAGGCGCTGCCATCGCGAAGTCTAAACGGTGCCTTCGAAAGCAGACTTAGGCCTAAGATGTATCTAGTAACCAACAGGAAATCTAGTAGAGAAGATTGGGACGAAATGTGAATGAAACAGGCCTGGACTGCGATCGTTACAATGCATGAATATTCAGAATCGTTCGACATCTCGCCGGACAAATCGTAGACGAATACTCATCCGTCACTTTGGAAGCTTGTGCATCCGGCCAAGCTGATCAATTAATATGGACAAAGAATGGAGTAGAAGTAAGATGATCACTATCACATCTGAAACACATCATCATTAATCAGCAATTTTTTTCAGATAAGCAATAATGACCGAACGGAAATCGCGCAGGACGGTGAACGATATCGGCTAACCATCAACAATGCTACGGCAGATGACGCTGGAACATACCAATTGGAACTCCGTCACCAAGGGTCAGACCTCGTGTCCGTAGCGTCGCTGATTGTTACCGGTAAGCTGTGAACTGATTAGATCTATGCGACCATAAGCTATGATTAATGCTCACTCGCTTCAACGTCTACATCGTGGTTGTAGTCCACTACGCACACGTTGCGGCAAACGCGACGGGTATGTACCAAGAGAATCGTAATTCGCCGCGCTAGTGGGCGTCGAGTGCAACGTCGCGCCCGCTAATGACTATGATTTAGATGGCCTTGGTCGAGGATAGATAATGAATGATTAAAAATAGACTTAAGTGTCTGCGATGTCCCTGTCTACATGAAATCCGATGCTCCAATCAAGAGGACAGCGCAAAATAAGGAACGTCGCGCCTGTTGCTGCGCGTGACGAAGCGGCAATTTACGATTCTCTTGCATATCTCCAGACGCGACGACAGATGCGTTGCGCGGCATTCGCAAGAGGTCTGCGTCTCTTACAGTCTTGTTCAGTGCTGATGAAGGGGCGTGTCAAGGTAGGGATAGGTTGTAGCGTGGCGCCGAACTAGTTTTGACGGGTGCGAGCGGCGAGACTGTATCGTATGGTTCGTATCAATTCTTTTCCATTAATTGTTGTCGCTTACCCAATTCGGCAACTGGTAGGGAATAGGTTCAGCACCCGACAATAGCGATTATTCAGTCAGGGCACAGCATTCGATGGGGATTTTGGTCGAGCTTTTACGACCCCCCCCCCTTTTTTCAGGGGCTGGTACGACCCCCCCCCCCATGGCTCGTACGATGGCTGACATGGCTGACTATGGTTGTGGTTTATACTCGGCGAAGAAACTTGTCGAGCGGGGGGGGGGGGGGGGTAATGTAGTAATGGCGATGCGACGTATAGCATGGTACCGGGCGTAGCAAGGACCCGTACCAAGGACCCCACAAGGACCAAATTACGACCCCCCCCTCCGAAACGTCCGCAAGGAGAGAAAAATCAACTAGAAAAATAAATTTTTCCCAGTCCAAATACGACCCCCCCCCTTTTGACGGCCAAATACGACCCCCCCCCATAGGGAATCCCCAACCAATGCTGTGCCCTGTATTCAGTAGGGCGCAAGTGGCTCACAAAAGAATTTAGGCGTGAGGTTCAGTGCATTGCAATAGTCGACCACGGACTCGCACCATATTCGACGCGCGTTACCTGAAAAAAGCGGTCCTAGCCGATTTGCCGACATATGCTTTGAGCTGCTGTAACAGAAGCGTGAACTATTTCAGGGTATAATGCGCACTGCAGGTAGTCGAACTAAACTATTGTTGGGAAAAAGCAGACCCTTTTTCTGTCAAAAAAATCGTTCTCATTCAAGCTGAGAGAAGAAGGCACAGTATTTCGTTTTGCCCGTTCAGAAACTAAGGTTTCCATGGTTTTTTTCTGTGCTATAGTCTAATCTTATTCCACTGGTAATCAGAGCCACCAATCGTCCTTGTAACCAGAAGTTCGAATGCGGTGAAGTTGAAATCAGGCTCAAGCGATTGTTGCTGAACGCGAAAACCATAAAATGGCACTATTCGACTATTACTACCCCAAAAAGACAAAAAATTTTCTTTTGGTGAAACCTCGCCCACAGAGATAGTTCAGTGTCCTAATCACGAATATAGCACTCGTTTTGGGCGCTGGCGCCCAGCTGGCACCAGTTTCCCGCCGCCACCTTTCCCACCAAATTCGGTGTGAATTTGCATGGTATGGGACATTCACTCCAGCGCCATTTAACACCTTCTAGGGCTGAGCGTGTGAGAAAATGTTTTCCTTTGGGTCAGGCCAGCCATACCAGAGCGCAGACAATCACAGCGTCTTCCATCACCGCCAGCGTCAAAAGTGAATGTGATATATGCAATCAAGATGTTAAATGGTCTTCTTATACAAGTTCCAGAGATTAGTGTACCTGACGAGTATTTTGGCGCTGGCGCTGAAATACCCTAGGTCATGCCAGTGGGTGTGATGTTCGTGTTCAGGAGGTCGAATTACCTCTAGAATCCAACTCTCAGCCAAATCTGCCCAGGTAGAAAATAAGTTGATTAAGATCCGGCCTGTTCTTGGAAAATTGGGTTTGTTTTCCATGTAGAGCGCGTCGAATATGGTGTGAATCCGCAGCCGACTATAGCAAGGCTAATGCCGTTTGGACTCCACCAACTTCGGCACCGAGCTCATTTTTAAATTACCTAAGTCGCCAAACCCGCTGAAAATATGTACACAAGGGTTATTTACCATCCTGATTACAATTATGACACTCATTCTTGGCGCTGGCGCCAAGGGATGACACTACGATTACCTCTTGGGCTCAGCCTTAGCGGAGCGCAGGTAATCGTAGTGTCATCCATTAGCAAGAGTGAATGTCATATTCGTAATCAGGATGTTAAACTACCCCTACATACAAGTTTTTAGCGGATTTGGTAACTTAGGCAATTTAAAAATGAGCTCGGTGCCGAAGTTGCTGGAGTCCAAACGGCATTAGCCCTATAGCAATGCATTCAACCTCACGCCTAAATTCTTTTGTGAGCCACTTGTGCCCTACTGAAAAATCGTTATTGTCAGCACCCGCGCCAAACCATCCCGCCTGAATCGCCCCTTCATTCGCAGTGAACAGGACCGCACGTAAACCTGACAAGGAGGGCTCTGCTGGTGCGTGCGATGCTGCGACGAGGAAATAACGATACTGGAAAAACGTTTTAAGGATGCGTTCGTACTTTCGTCGGCGTTTTGAGCTTGCGGTAGCGTTCTGAGCACTCGAGCGAGTAGGAAAGTAAATATTATCGAACCAGGGTACGTGAGCGCACATCAGCGTTTTGAGCGATTAGGAAAGTATGGGTATCGATCTGGAGTTTAGGCATGCACCAGCTCCGAGCGTTTCGCGAGGGTTTTGAACTTTTCGCGGGCAGTCACTGAAAACATTGGCGTACGCACGAAAAGCCGGATCGATATTTATACTTTCTAGCGCCTCGAAACGCTCAAAAACGCTGACGCAAAGTATGAACACTTCAGCCATAATGGGGAGTATGGCACTCGTGCATTGCTTCCTAGGTGGTAATTAACCCGAGTGAAGTAATGAGAAGAAAAACCATTCCCAAATGTAAAAGATAGGACTCTATCGCGAAGAGAGCTCGCATGGCGAAGAGAAGGCGAGTTGGACGAGTTTTCACTCGCTGGTACAGAGTCATAGATAGCTATATCGGCCTTTCCTTCATCACCTCACTCTCACCAGTCTTAATGGAACGGGTCGTAGCGAAGCAGCCGCAGCACACGGTCGATAGAAATAAGCTTTGGGCGTAGCATGGGGCAGTGGGTGGGCCACGTGAAGTATAAACAGGAAGTACTCGAAAGAGGTCCCTCACATGAAAAACATTCATATCGTAATCACATCTTTTTTTTCCTCAAACAACATTTCTTTTGAGGGGAGGGGGGGGGGGAGAGATGTGCAAAACGACAACTGCAGAATATTCTAAAGCGGATGGCAGTATAACAGAGCTATGTTATATTTCTATGCGGTTCACGTGTGCGCGCATGGTTTCGAAAACTGAACCAATCATTATTCGATGCCTCTCAAACGTACAGTATGCAACATTGAAAAATCCTATTAATGACAGCTTTCATTATGGGCAACTTTTCACGTTTTCTCTTTTTTTTCTAGGACTGACTGTACACGTACCTACGCAAATCTTTGCGTAGGTCTTTTCTATCCGAGCGCCGTTTCTGGGCTCCGCCCATGCCGCCACACGGCCATCCACAGGCCTAACCATGGTCACAGGCACTACTTGTGTGCGCTTTCTCACTTCTAGTTGTTCTCTGTTTTTGACTACGTTTTCGCTTTCTGGTATCGACGCAAATGCTGCAGCTTGAGGATAACGTGGGAGGAGTCGGGAGGGGCACCAGGCTGTCGCTATCCTCCAACCCAGTTCGCAAACGCTGGTCCACGGACAATTTTAACTCAACCCCTTTGAACGCGTCGATCTTCTCTTTTCTCTGCACTCTCTCGTCCGCATGGCACTCTATGGCCGTTGTGACTTCGCTCACTCCAGCTTTTCACCGACTATAAGTAGCTCACCCACCCCGGAGTCCCCTCCCCTTGAAAAATCCCGTTTCCTGGCTCGCCATACGTTTTTTGCACGTTTCGATGCTTTGGCAGCCGCTGCCCTCTATCCGTCTGCGTCACAGGGTTTCGTAACAGGACCATGCACAAAAGTTCAAGATGTCACGTACCACTTCACAGCTGCAGTCCCATTCAACTCGCATATGGCAAAGATCAACCATGGAGGTGAACTATAGGTGGCCGTTAATGGCATGACATGGTCGTTCAGAAGTGACAATTTCTTTATATTTAAATTACAATTAAACTACGTGTAGAGTTTGCAAGTCATTGCCGCGAAGGTATTGTCTAGTTCGCTGCCGATAAAGGGGCGGGATGAGTTTGGCACGGCGGCAAACCCGTTCTTCACTAATTGTTGAAGTGAGTGACAAGACTGTATCATACACTCGCAATCGTATGTATCAGTCGTTTTCTATCAATTGTTGCCGCATACTCAATTCAACAGCTGACAAAAAACGGCTTTCGACGCCATGGCACACTCATACTGCCTAACACGCCCCTTCACTCGCAGAGAACTAGAGCATGACCTCACCGTAATCCTTCTTCTCCAGATCCGTTCACGACTTCTCCATTGGTTTTGGGGCCGTTAGTAGTAGCTGATCGCACAGCGACGTTGGCTCGGCAAGATTCTTGTCCTGCAGAATTGCTTGCTCTGCACACGTACTCTCCAACGTCGTCAGCATTCGCTTCAGAGATTGTCAACTCCGCTGTTCCTCCCGAAAACGAAGTCACCAATCGCGGATCCGTCACTCGCTCTCCATTATGTAACCATTCAATCAACGGCGATGGACTTCCATCAACCTGGAAAATCATCATTTCTCTTCATTGTGCTCTTCTATGAAGGAAAATATAATGGAATGAAAATGGGGCGAACTAACCTGGCAAGATAATTTGATCTGTTCTCCTTGATCGACGCTAAGATCTTTGAGTTTGGCGGTAAAGTTTGGCGGCTCAGTGGAAACTTTCAGCTTGAGGTCGTCTGCTGCCGATCGTGTCATATCCGTTGTGGAGCTGTAGGAGGAGCGAGAAGAAGAGTACGAAGAAGAGTACGACGATGACTCACTTCGGAAGTCTGAGTACGATCTCGACTTCTCGACTTCGTTCACCCTCAATGAATCATGTACCCTTCTGGTGCGGTATGAAGAGATCCGAGGCATCGGTTCTCCCTTTGTCTGTACACTGACCACACATTCGCTAACGTCTTCTCCTAGCGGACTTGTCGCCTTGCAGGTGTACGTACCGGCGTCGTCGACTCGTGTGTTGAAGATCTCCAGTGTGCAGACTCCACTTCGGAATGTCGTCTGTACTCGGTCCTGGTCGACAGGTGCTCCGTCCTTGAACCATTCCACTTTGGGAATTGGGTTTCCTTGCAAAGTACAGATGAGTTTGCATTGATGATTCTTCTGAATCATACGCGGACGAAGATGGAAAGAAAAGTTAGGACGTATGTCTTTCTCTTTGAATTCCTCGACTTTCGGCAGTGCAGGTGCCTTTCGCATTGGTTGTAACGGCTCACTCTTGAACTCTTCGCTCTTTCGATTGACGGTCAGGAAGACAACCTCTTCTTTCGATCCATACGAGTTCTTTGCCCGTACCGTATATTCTCCTTTGTCGTCCATTTTTACCCTGTTAATTGTGAGACCATAGTCGTTCCCGTTGTACTTCTTCATATACTTCACACTCTGCTTCAATTCTTCCGAATCGTGATGCCAGGTAACAATTGGCGGTGATGATGCGATTACTCGACAGTAGAAGTTAGCACTCTGACCTTCTGTCACAGATGTGCTAAACGGTTTGATGATAAACCGTGGCTGAGCTTCAGAGCGCTCGAAGAAAGCGTCATGAATGTGGTACTCTGACGGACGGTGTTTTCGGAGAGAACTGAAGTTAGAGATACGACCGAGTGGAGGCACCGGTTCTGGCCAAGCATCCTGAAAAACTACTTTTCTGGAAGAAACGAAGACAACGAGGAGGAGGAAACATACATATTTCTGACGAATCGAATCACGAATGGAGTGGTATCGGTTGCTGGGGATCACATCACCTCCACCAACTTCACCACTTGACAACCATGGATGGTTCAAAGCTTCGTGAATGGTCATTCGCTTTCTGAAGAAAAAAAAGGACAATTGAAAGTACTGTAGGTTGTAATTGCCGGATGCTCACCCTGGTTCTGCAATGAGAAGTTTACGAATGAAATCTTTGCCGTTTTCGGAGACTTGGTTGAATATCGGGTCGTCCATATTCCAGTCGCATTTTTTCACGTTCTTCAGCGTTTCTTCGTCATTCTCGCCTGCGAACGGTGATAGTCCTGATAGAAGAATGTACGACAGTACTCCGACACTCCACATGTCCGTAAAGTAGCCAACTGGTTCTCCGTTGGCCACTTCTGGTGCCGCGAACTCTGCAGTTCCGGTTGTCACCTATAAGTGTGGTTGGGTCATTATAAAAAGCATATAAAATAAGAATAAAAATAATTCAATCTGGGAACGTCTACGTGTGTCTTGGAGCTGAGTTTGGTTTGGCGCCAGCCCATTTTCCAATCACTGTTGCCGCTTGTCCGCTTCAACAGTTGGAGGAGGACGAATGGCGCCGCAAGGAACCCACCCCTTTGACACGCCTCAGCATCTGCAGCGAAAACTATCATATGGCTCGAATGAAGAGGATGGACCAGGGCATGTGTTGCGTTTGAGGGAAGGGGAGGAGTTTCGTAAAGTACAAACTCCCGAAGTTTCCTCCTTTGGCCGACCTTCCTCACCATCCTCGCCATCATCATCGAGCCTTACCACCCTACCTGCCTAACTCCTTGCAACGTCCTATCACCCCTTCCCCATCCTCCATCCGGTTCTACCGTCTGCCTAACTTCTCCCAACGTCCTACCACTCCATTCCCCATCCTCCTCCCCGTCGTCCGACCTATCATTCTCTTAAGCTCTCCCAACGTCCTAGTATAATATTTTTCCAGTGTTTACCCAGGGAACTGCGAGCGGGGAGGAGGAAAAGGTAGCGTGCGTGAGATGAGAAAAACCGAAAGAAGTAAACAACTAGTAAAAATCTTCTCAAAGGCAAAAGGCAAATACGACCCTCTCTCCCTCCAGCGACTGAGTGCGACTCCCTCACTGAGGATAGGATGTTCAAGACAGAACGTGCCTCGAGCTTCCTAACGCAATACGTATTCGATACTGTGTTTAAAGCGAATAAGTTACCTTAACGCTATCCTTGGGGTCGAGGAACGATGCAAGGCCGAAGTCGATCAGCTTCAACTCATTGCTTTTCTTCGTCGTGAACATGATGTTCTCTGGCTTCAAGTCCAAATGAACGTAGTTCATCTCGTGCATGTGACACAGTGCCTTGCACACTTGACGGGTGTAGTCGATCGCTTCGGCTTCGGTCATTCGATTCGAGTCATCGGCAACTTTCTCAAACAGTTCGCCACCAGACATGCTGCAAATTTAAACCTTCTCAGTAATTGATTTTTTAGGTACTAGAACTATCCGAAAGCTTGAAGGTCTATGAACAAGCGTGCAATGTGAATTCGTGCTAATGCCCTGAATAACTAACCCTGACAACAACACTAAAATATAACTCAAAGACTCACAATTCGTAAATCATGACCATTTCCTTGTCACCTTCGAAGGCGTCGTGCAGGTTGATGAGGGTAGGATGTCGGAGAGCGGACATGGTGTTGATTTCCTTACGAACGGTTGCTTTGTCAGCCTCATTTTGAGTGTTCACGAATTTGGCCGCAAATGTGTTGCCGGTTGCACGTTCAGTGCAGCGATGAACCACGCCAAACGCACCACTGAAAATATCTAGCTGATGGAGAAAACTGGGAAAGACAAACCACAACAGTAGTACTGCTCACCTTCCGATCTCCTCGTGGATGTCGTAGTGGTCAAGTACTGGGCTATGTTTGATTTCAACTTCTTGTGGATAGTACTGCTTCCATACATCGATCACGTAACCATCGTAGTTGGACATAGTTGGTCCTTTGCCGCGAATCACTTTGCCGGTGTCGTCAACATCGTAGTTCCTTGGACGAATGCGGTCGTTACCAGGAATCAACACAGGAGCAGTGGGTTCGCAAGGTTGTGACAGTCCGTGCTTGTTCTCAGCAATGACGCGGAACTCGTAGGTCTTCTTGGGGCGACATCCTTCCACAGTAAGACAGGCGAAGCGAGTTTTTCCACATGGCTCCCATGTGCCGCCACTCGTGTCTCTCCTTTCAACAGTGTACTGTGTGACAATTGATCCGCCGTCGAGATTTGGAGGTTTCCATGACAAAATAACAGCTTCGTCTAGCACGTTTTCAACAATAGGGAATCGTGGCGGTTCTGGGCAATCGGCAACAGTGACATTCACTGCTGTCGAGTCCTGTCCCACACAATTTTCCACAATAACCCTATATTGACCGTAATCCTCTCGAGTGGCGTTGGAGATGCGTAAAGTGGCAAATTTGTCATCGGTTGTAATTTCGTAGCGGCCACCGCTCTCGATCTTCTCTCCCTCTTTGGACCATCGGGATTCTGCTCGCGGGAAGGCCTTGTACGGAATCTTCAGTTCGATGGTCTCATTCTTTTGAGATTCGTATCCGCCATGGTATCGTGGTGGCAGGAACACTCTCGGTTTGGACATGATCAACAGCTGTGCTCTGGTGCTCTTTGTACCGAATTTATTCGTAGCACGGCATGTGTACTCGTCTGCGTCATCTGGATTCGCGTGGTTAACCATAAGAACTTGCACGTCACCCTTGGAAAGGATAGTGAATCTCGAGGTGTCCACAAGCTCCTTCATGCCCTTGAACCAACTGTATTCTGGTCGTGGAGAGCCAATGATCTCGCATTCGAACGTTGCACTACGTCCTGGTTCAACAGATTGGTCGCTCAGCTGGGTGATGATCTCGGGAGGAGTACCACCAGAGGCCGACTTGAATTGTAAATCCCTGAAAAGAAGTATTTAGCGGTATTCTTCATAGGGAATTATTAACAACAACTTACATTTCAGCAGGTTCCGACAATCCAGCGTCGTTGACGGCGAACACACGGAATTTGTACTTTCTTCCATCGATAAGGCTTCCAACGTTGAAACGTGTTCGGCAGGCGATGGATTCTGATTGCATCGGACCCACGTCTCCTGATCCTTCCTCACATTTCTCGACGTAGTATCCACGTAATCGGCCTCCACCATCAGAAGCCGGTCGATGCCATGTCAACACAACGAATTCGTCGCCCACTTCAGTCACTTCCAGATCGGTTGGTGGTCCTGGACGGTCGTACGGAAGTCGGGTTACCACTGGGTTTTCACCTACAAGCGGCACTCCTTGACCGTTTTCATTCGCTGCACTCACTCGGAACTCGTACTCGTGATTTTCGAATAGCCCTTGTACAGTGAACGATAGATCGCGAACACTAGACGCGACCACGTTCCACTCATCCTTCGTTAGATCTCTCTTTTCAATTACATAATTGGTGATCTTCGAGCCTCCATCATTCACTGGTGGACGCCAAGAAAGGCATACTTGATGAGTATTAACATTGCTGAAGTGCAGGGGCCCTTGTGGAGCTCCAGGTAGTCCTGTGACATTCAGCCAGAAGCCAGTTGATGCCACGCCACTATCATTACTGATCGTGTATTCGTAGCGGCCAGCTTCTCGAGTTGAGAGCGACGGTATGGTGATGAGAATGTGATCGTCGAAGTCGACAAGACGAATCGTCGGATGATCAGCGTCAACCTCTTCTTTATTCAAGGTCAATGAGTGGTTGAATGGCGGCGTGCCCGAGAAGTAGATCTTCAAACGGACCATCTCGCCCATTGGGAGAATCGTGTTTGGCACGTCTTTCTCAATAATCGGAGGAGCTGAAATAACCGTGATTTTATTAGTAATATGCTATCGAAAAAAAGTGTGCCATCCCGGCTGCGTTCATACTTCGCGTCAGGTACGCCAGCGTCAGCGACTAAGAAAGTATAGGTATCGATCCAGCGTATGCCAGCGTACAGCAGCGTTTCGAGCGACTAGAAAATATAGATACCGATCTGGGGTCTGCCAGCGTCCACAAGCGTTCACCAGCGACCGGGAGTATAGAGAATGGGGAAATAGGAAGCTAGCACCGCTGGATTAGGCGTCGCTAGATTGCAGCGGGTGCAACCGCAACGTACAATTGCTGAAGCGCAGAATTATGCTATCTTGATGCACTGTGTAGTGCAGTTGTACGGTGCGGTTGCACACGCCGCTACTTACGACGCCTAATCTAGCAGCCTGTACCCTCCTACTTCTTCACACTCTCCACTCCAGGACTCCTGGTGGACGCTATGCAAGATCGACACATACGCTTCCCTAATTGCTGGTCTACGCTCGAAACGCTGCCGTATGCTGACGCGAAGTATGAATGCGGCCTAATGAAAACTAATTTTACCTTGAACGATAAGCTTAGCTGTAGCGGAATCGCTTCCATAGACGTTTGAAACTTCGCAAGTGTATTCTCCAGCGTCGATATCCCATACTTCCTTGATTGTGAATCTGAATGTGCCTTCATGCGCCTCGAAGCGGTATCGGCTGCTTTCGGGTAGCTCGCGGCCATTTCTGATCCATCGGCAAACAGGCTCAGGACGACCAACAGCTTCACAGACGAAAACGGCGCGCCTGTTGTAGGGCTCCGCAGTGTCTGCTGGCTTCACCACAATCTGTGGTCGAGAGCCGTTCAAGTCTTGAATCTTGATGGGTCCTGTTGGCAATGAAGGTATTCCTTTTCCGTGCTTATTGATTGCAATGATTCGGAACTCGTAGTCGTGGAATTCCTTCAGGCCAGGTACGGTAAACTCGGGATCGCGGATATTATAATCGCTAACTTTGGTCCACAGTGTGCTGCCGTGTTCGCGCTGTTCCACAATGTACCCAGTGATTGGAGATCCTCCATCATCGATTGGTGGAACCCAGGTAAGGGTTACATGATTACGTCCAATGGATGTAGCATTCGCTTGACTAGGTGGTCCAGGAGGTCCGAATTTCGCTCGCAATTTTGTTCTTTCCGAAGGCGGCGATGGTTTTGAGAATCCAGCAGCATTCTTTGCCGTCACCCTGAACTCATATTCTCCGTTTTCACGGAGGTTGTTCACCCTCATCGAGTTCTGAGTTATAAGGTCTGTATTGGCGGTGATCCACTTGGCAGATGATGCTTCACGATACTGCACTTGATAGCCAAGGATCTTTGAGCCACCATTGGCAGGTGTATCCCATTCGATTTCGGCCCAAGTGGAATCCATGTCACGAACAGTTGGAGCATCTGGTTGAGCTGGCACGTTGAACTGATATTTAGCGATGATCGCATCGGGGATTTTCGAGCGGTTCAGAGATACCAAACTGATTCTCAGCGCGGACACGGAATTTGTACTGCTCGCCAGCCTGCAGACGTGGCACAACAAATGACGTATTTCTGACGAAGGATGAGACCCTCTCCCATTTTGGATCAGCGCCCCTCATGCAGAGCTTCTCGACAATGTAGTTTGTGATCGGTGAACCGCCATCGCTCTTCGGTGGTTTCCACGACAGCGTGCAACAGTCTGGCGCAATGTCAGTGATCTCAAGTGGTCCCTCAGGTGGTGAAGGACGATCCACCACACGTAACTTTACTGTCGCACTGTCTTTGCCCATGGAATTCTCGAGCTGAAACAAATGCCATTGAGCTTTGTCAACGGGATTGCCAAAAAATATAACCTACAGTAATCGTGTATAGTCCGCTGTCACTGATTTCGCATTTGTCAATAGTCATAGCGGTGAGGAAGTCGTTACTGTCCACCTTGTTCCTCTTGTCGCGTTCGTCCAACTTCATATCACCTTTGGACCAGGTGATCCGTGGCATGGGCGACGCGCTGTATGGTACGAGAATCTGAAAAGTTGATCGTCATTGGAAGAATATCAGGGAGACAAGTTCAAAGACAATTCCCGCGATCAAGTGTTACGGGTAGTAGGTGCTCAATCATGAACCAGTAGTCCATAATAACTCCCCAGTAGAGGAAGAAGCGAAAAAACCTTGGGAACACTCTGAACAGAGACCCCCTTAGCAGTGGGGCCGGCGCCTTTGATAAGTTTGTCGGACGTTGTCATCCCCGATCAGCAGGCTTCGACGTGCAACCGACTCTCGGCAAGAGCAAATCACCCTACGACGCTCCAAGCAACGCTATGTTCACGTAGTTCCGCTTGTTAGTCGTTGTCTTGTAGAGTGGAAATAATCATGGTTGCAATAATCACGCGTCTCTAGTTTCTTTACGCCGTTTCGAGTGACGAAAGTGGCTTATTTGTGCGAATGCGGACAACGATGCCAAATGCAAGCTGCCATTTCGCGGACCACTTTATCGCGGAAACTGTCCTTAGTCCTTAAAGAAGAAGGGGTTCGTAATACCTTGGCGGTCTCTCCTGCATAAGCAATAACGTCTCGTGTAAGCATTGCGAGGTCGATAAGCGGTTTCTTTGGTGAACCTTCGGCGGCAATTGGGAAGCTACTTTCGCTCCAATCACCGTTTCCGGCCGCGTTTGTGGCACAAACACGGAACTCGTACTCCTTTTTGGGAGTGAGTCCAGTTACCTTGAAAAAAATCATCACTCGTTGCATCTCCACTACTTAAGCTGTCGACCACTCACCCTGTGCTTGGTTTCCGGCACAGTTCCATAAGCGGCTTTGGTCCATTCTTTGGTGCCCACTTCTCGTTTTTCGATCACGTAGCCCTGGATCGGTGCGCCACCATCGTGCAGCGGGCGCGTCCATTGAAGAACAATCGCCTCCTCGGATGTTTCGAGAGCTTCCGGCTGTCCAGGGGCTCCGGGTGGATCTGGAAAATTCAAATGTCAGTGAATACTGATCTAGCTGGTAACATTAGCATTTCTACTTCATTCTTAAACTCACTGAAAGGATCCTTAGCGACAATGATGTCGTCCGTTTCAAGCGGTTGTCCCACTCCGTACTGGTTCTCCGCTGAAACGCGGAATTCGTAGGCCTGATTCTTGTCAAGATTTCTGACCCGAAGTGATGTTCCAACGGGATGTCCACAAGGGACCCATTCACCGCCTGGAGTTCTTTTCTCGACAACGTAGTTGGTAACATCATCGCCTCCATTGTCCTTAGGAGGTGACCAGTGCAGGGTCATCGCATCTCCCTGGATGTCAGTGGCTCGAATAGGTCCAGTAGGTTTGCCAGGAACGTCAAGAACATTCACGTTCAGCTTAGCGACATCCTTGCCCAAACGGTTTGAAAGAACGATCTTGTATGGGCCAGCATCACTTCTCTTCGAGTCAGTCGTAGTGATAACTATCGAGTCGGGGTTCACATCAATTACCGTGCGGTCATTTTCGAAAAGCGGCGTCGCTCCGTTGAACAAGTCAACGATTGGTTTCGGATTTCCGCCGGAGTAAGGAATTTTTTATCTGATTGTCCTTTTTGGGAGTGAGTCCAGTTACCTTAAAAAATCATCACTCGTTGCATCTCCACTACTTAAGCTGTCGACCACTCACCCTGTGCTTGGTTTCCGGCACAGTTCCATAAGCGGCTTTGGTCCATTCTTTGGTGCCCACTTCTCGTTTTTCGATCACGTAGCCCTGGATCGGTGCGCCACCATCGTGCAGCGGGCGCGTCCATTGAAGAACAATCGCCTCCTCGGATGTTTCGAGAGCTTCCGGCTGTCCAGGGGCTCCGGGTGGATCTGGAAAATTCAAATGTCAGTGTGAATACTGACCTAGCTGGTAACATTAGCATTTCTACTTCATTCTTAAACTCACTGAAAGGATCCTTAGCGACAATGATGTCGTCCGTTTCAAGCGGTTGTCCCACTCCGTACTGGTTCTCCGCTGAAACGCGGAATTCGTAGGCCTGATTCTTGTCAAGATTTCTGACCCGAAGTGATGTTCCAACGGGATGTCCACAAGGGACCCATTCACCGCCTGGAGTTCTTTTCTCGACAACGTAGTTGGTAACATCATCGCCTCCGTTGTCCTTAGGAGGTGACCAGTGCAGGGTCATCGCATCTCCCTGGATGTCAGTGGCACGAATAGGTCCAGTAGGTTTGCCAGGAACGTCAAGAACATTCACGTTCAGCTTAGCGACATCCTTGCCCAAACGGTTTGAAAGAACGATCTTGTATGGGCCAGCATCACTTCTCTTCGAGTCAGTCGTAGTGATAACTATCGAGTCGGGGTTCACATCAATTACCGTGCGGTCATTTTCGAAAAGCGGCGTCGCTCCGTTGAACAAGTCAACGATTGGTTTCGGATTTCCGCCGGAGTAAGGAATTTTTATCTGGATGGTTTCTCCAGCACGAACAGTTATGTCCTTGAGGTTCGATAAATCGAATACTGGACGCCCTGGTTGTTCTTGGATCACGACAAGATCCGATGGTTTCGAAGGTTCTCCTTCACCAGCAGAGTTGACAGCAACCACTCGGAATTCATACTCTTCTTTTTCGCCGAGACCATCCACAACTAGCGAAGTTCCCTGAAAAGAAACAACTTTAATCACAAACAAAAAAAAACACAAAACAAAGACAAACAAAAAGAAAACAATGGAAAAACCATTTGTAGGTTCCAGCTGAAAGAATAATATTCAAACCTTTATCGGCTTTGCGTTGACTCTGGACCAGTCTGGATCTCCAATCTTCTTCTTTTCTACGAAATAGCCATCAATCGGAGCGCCTCCATCTTTGAAGGGTCGACTCCAAAGTACTTCAGCAGAATTCCTTGTGATGCTTCCGATTCTCGGTTGATCGGGTGCTCCAGGAGGTACTGTAAATTGAATTCAGACTCAGCAAACTAAATTCAATAGTGCTCTATTGGTAAGCAACTCACCAACGAATGGTCTGCAAGTGACTGGCTCTGATCCGCTGCTGGCTTCACCTTCACCGGCAGCATTCACAGCTCTTATTCTGAACTGATAGGTTTCACCCTCGTGGAGGTTTGGAATGGTCACTTCTGTTCCCTTGATCAGAGGCATCTTAATTGGTGCCCAGTCGCCGCCGCCCTTCTTTTCAAATCGTTCGACGACATATCCGAGGATCGGTGAGCCGCCGTCGTCTTTGGGTGGATTCCAAGCCAGTGATACTAGATTCGAGTCGTAACCAGTTACTTCTGGAGTGGATGGTGCTCCAGGTGGATTGAATGGGTCCTTGATCACGACCGGAGCACCGGTGACGTAGTCTGATAAGCCGACCAGATTCTCAGCGCGGACGCGGAATCGGTACTGCTGACCGTGCTCCAATCCTCGAACTGTATATGATGTTCCTGCAATGGTTCCAGGGATCTTTTCCCACAAACGTCGATCCCGTTTCTTGGTATTCGATCTTGTATCCGGTGATTTCGGAACCTCCATCGTCCTTTGGAGGCACCCATTTGAGTGCGCAGGTGTGCCTGGTCACGGCGTCGTAGGTAAGATTCTCAGGAGCGCCAGGTTTGTCGATGACAGTGATTTTGATGTTCGCTTCGGCATCTCCAAGATTGTTACTCGCCTTTATTTTCACTGAACCGCTATCACTACGTCTTGATGTTGGGATGAGGAGGCGGGTTTGGGTCTCGGTAGTTTCGACTCCAGGGATCTCTTTGCCGTCTTTTGTCCACTTCACTTCGGGCTTTGGCGATCCGTGCATAGGAATGGTAATGTCCAGCGGATCACCAGCTTTAACACGGAACTCTTTTCCATCGATATCTAGATCGAAGCCTGGTGCCTCAAACATTGGTTTAGCTGTTGCAGCAGCCGAGGGATCCGATGGCTCTCCTGGTCCGCTCTTGTTCACTGCAACCACTCGGTACTCATAGGTATGATCTTTCTGTACGCGAACATCGGAGAAGGCTGTACCATGGACAGGAGTGGTGTTCACCTGAAAGGCTCTCTTATGAGTCTACTAGCAAGGGAGCTTATTGTAGATTCAACTAACCTTAACCCATCGTCCGGTTTTCACGTCCTTCCTTTCAACGTCGTAGTGCTCGATTGGAGAGCCACCGTTGTCACGAGGTGGATCCCACTTGATGTCGATGTGGTCATTGTCGGTGTCAACGATTTCCGGCTGTAAATACAGATAAAAGTAAAGTGATAAGTTAGCTGGCTTCGGGTCAGGGCACGTCCTGCCGCTGGGGAATGTTCAGAAAATGCGAACGCCTCAATTTCGTCCTCTTCTGCTATGACACCCCCCTCTCCTCATTCTGCTTAATGTCTTGCCTCCCTTGCCAACTTCTCGAAGCTTCCTCCACTGTTATCGAACACTGAAGGTTCAAGATTTTGCCGTCTAGCCGGGGAGGGGGGACGGGGCCGAGAAACAGCGAAACCCGCGAACAGCCAACAACCCAATGGAGAACGCGGCAAATTTCTTTCATAAGGATGACTCTTTCTCCCAGTGACTATCAAATATGACCCCCCCCCCCTTAAGATTTCACCCAGCGATACTAATAGCGCTCATGAAAGAAAAAATCAGCTATCAAAATTTTCTGTCAAGTCAAATACGACCTCCCCTCTCCCAACTACTAAATACCTCCTCCGCTATGGATTCCCCAAGGTAGGACATGCCCTGATTCGAATGGTTTTGTCACTCACCTTGCCTGGCTTGCCGGGCGCGCCAAATGGATCTTTAGCAAGCACCGGTTCAGTGGTGTTCAGAGGATCTGAGCGTCCAAAGGCGTTCTCAGCCATGACTCTCAATTCGTATTCATGTCCTTCAACCAGTTTTGGTACCGTAATTCTTGTTCCAGTAACGAATGTAGACACAGGCACCCAGGTATTAGTCTTTGTGTCGCGTTTCTCTACTACATAATTGGTTATCTCGGCTCCACCGTCATCGCTTGGTGGGTTCCAGCTGAGTACACAGCTGTCCTTAGTTACGTTGGACACCTCAAGCGGTCCTCCAGGAGTGGCTGGGCGGTCTGAAATAGTGAACTATACTATGAAGATTACCTTCATAGATGCCAACTAACCTTGCACAATGACTTCGAATACTCCTTCGTCTTCGCCGATTTCGTTCTTCACCTTCAATGTGAACGGTCCGCTGTCAGACCGTTTAGCGCTCGGGAAGAAGATTGATGCTACGCCAGGTTTCGCCTCAACCAACAGGTCGGACGGTACTTCCTGACCTTCTTTGAATGTCCATGTCTGGGTTGGCTCTGGCGCTCCATCAAACTCCACTTCCATGGTATGAGTGTGACCGGCTCTGATCTTGATCTTTCGATTTTGCGTGAGAATTTTCGGTTTCACTGCAAGCAAAATAAATTGATTTTGAAATGTTCTCGTTGACATTCTAATGGTGAACTTTTAACTTACAGTATCTGGGCTTGGTTATTTGTGGGTCAGTCGGATCTGACGGATCGGAAGGACCAGCTTCGTTGACGGCAATAACACGGAACTCATACTCAACACCTGGTTTGAGGTTGTTGGCTGAGAACTTCGTGCCCGATGTCTTGCCAGCCTCGTTCCAGATCGCACTGCCCTTCTCCTTTTTCTCAACAATGTACGACTTTACTGGACTTCCTCCGTTGTTCGTTGGAGGCTTCCATTGGATGTCAATACGATCCTTGTCCCAGTCCACTACCTCCGGCTTGTCCACCGGATCAGGTACATCTGCAATCATGCGACGTATCGCAATACTGAAAAACTGGGTATCGTAATTATTTTAAAAGGTATTTTTGCTCAAATTTCCGTAAAAATCTTGAAAAAAAAGGAAATTTTAGGGAATTTTGTATGCCTCCTTCCATCTCTCAACATATAATAAATATCTCAAATATACATATAACATCTCGAAAATAAATATTGGTAACAGTAAGGCTAACCAAATTCGTTCTTAGCGATGATTGGCTCAGTAGTTTCGAGTGGTTTCGATTCTCCTTGCAGATTGACGGCCATCACTCGGAACTGATATTCCTTCATATGGATCAACTTTCCCACTTTGGCCGTGCACTCGGGGAATTCGCCGACTTCTTGCCAAGTTCCACGGGAAGTGTCCATCTTTTCAACACGATAGTGAAGAATTTCCGAGCCTGAAAACCATTCTTACAATAACACCAGCAGACCTTGCACTATAACCTACTCACCTCCGTTATCAAGTGGTGGCTTCCATGTGAGCGTACATCCTTCTTTGTGGATTTCATTTACCTTCAAAGGACCTTCGGGAGGACTGGGCACGTCAAGCACAGTGACGTTGCATTGTGCTTTGTCTTTTCCGTGCTCGTTCTCAACAGAGACCGTGTACACTCCAGTATCTCCTCTGACACTGGAGAAAATATGCAGCTCAGATGAGGTCGGTGTTGTGGTAACTTCAGCCCGTGGAAGGTCATTCAATACGGTGTCGTTGGCACGCCAAATGGCTGCTGGTGCAGGCTCTCCTTCGAACAACACTTCCAATTTCAACGGAGTACCTGCCTTGATACGCAAGTCGAGCAAGCCAGCCAAGTTGATCTTTGGTGCCACTGAAAATGCAGTTCATCTCTTAAAACGCCTGTCATAGAAGAAAGTCTTAAAGTTCTTACTTTTTCTCGGCTTCGCGACGATTGGAGCAGTAGGATCGGACGGTTTGCCTGGTCCAGCTTTGTTCACAGCTTTCACGCGGAACTGATAGGTCTCACCAGCCACAAGGTTCCAGCTGTAGCTTTAGTGGTCTTGCCATCAACAGTCGCACAGGGTACCCAGTCACCATATTTGTCTTTCTTCTCCACAATGTATTGCTCGATAGGAGCTCCTCCAGTATTTTCAGGAGCCTGAAATATTACCAGTAGATTGGTTTGTATAGTTGTGAGCGCAGTAAGCCTGGTACCTTCCACTCTAGGTCTACATGGTCCTTATCCCAGTCAACGGGAGTCACGTCCGTTGGCGCTCCAGGTTCATCAAATGGATTCTTTGCCACGATGGCGTGGTCGGTCTGGAGAGGAGCCGAAACACCTTGCCTATTCACAGCTTTCACGCGGAACTTATATTCATGGCCTTCATTCAACTTTCCGACTTTTAGGTTCGTGTCAGCCGTCTCGCCGCACTGAAACAAACTTGTAAATGGGAACAGTGGGGTGACAGAAAGATGACGACAAAAAACGTACCGGTACCCATCGACCATCATCTTCTTGCTTCTCAACGATATAGTTGGTAATAGGAGAACCACCGTCATCCTCTGGGGGATGCCATTTCAACGTACATCCATCCTTTGTGATATCCTTTACCGTAAGCGGTCCTTCAGGAGCTCCCGGGATATCTAAAATGCCAACTGCGATGCTTAAAAACACGGGCCACAATCCATGATAAGTATCTGTGGTTTTTGAAGGGGAAGATCGCAAAAAACAACCCTGCACAAAGTCGCGCCACAAAGTTTTGAGGTAGCGGCAGTAAAACACAAGGTTGAATAAGTGACTCCGCCTAGTTGCTAGATATCTCATCGCTTGTCCTACTCCTTTGCGTGCTCTCTCGCCGCTCTTGTCAATTGCCTCGCCCGACAACCACATCGGTTTTTTGTCTCTCGCTAGCACAGGGAAAACCCGATTTCGAGCGTTTTCGTCTAGTTCCCTAGCCTTTTCTTCATCACGAGTTTTATACACTTTTTAGTTCTAACCCCGATACCAAAGAACTTCTCACTGGCTCGTCACGAATTCTGCCTTTAAACATAGTAAAAATCAGAGCAATCGGCAACTCACCCAGTACATTCACATTGACCTCAGCCTCGTCACGACCATTCTCATTTGTAGCAACGATCTTGTACTTGCCACTGTCGGCACGCACTGCGTCTTTGGTGTCGAGTTTGGTGTTGTTATCATTCGAGTTATCGATCTTTGTCTTTCCTAGTGACTCAATTGGTGTTCCATTAAGGAACCATTCAATCTTTGGCGCTGGTTCTCCCTCCACATTTACGTCGAAGCTGATAGTCTGACCAGCCTTGAGGCGAAGGTCGTTGAACATGTCACGGTTGATTTTTGGCGGAAGATTTCTTGGCTTAGCAATCATCGCCTTGCTGGGATCGGATGGTCGAGACTCTCCAGCTTTGTTCAAAGCTTTAACTCGGAACTGATAGGTCTGACCTGGTCTCAAATTGTCTACAGTAGCGGTGAGTTGATCAGCTGGAACCTTCTTGGCCGGTAGCCAGTCACCGTTTCCAGCCTTCATTTCAATGAGATACTCTTCAACAGGAGCACCTCCGTCGTCGACTGGGGGTGTCCATTGCAAATCAGCATGGTCCTTATCCCAATCCACGATTTCTGGAGTTCCTGGAGCGTCGGCGCAATCGAATGGATCTTTTGCGATTATTGACTTGGCAGCTTCCAATGGATCTGAATCGCCATAGCGATTCACTGCCTTCACGCGGAACTGAAAACCTTAGGCTTATTCTTCTCAAAAGAGAAGACCAGCAAGGAATAAATATAAACAGGGTGAAACGGACCTTGTATTCATGTCCCTGAACAAGATCATCAACATGGAATTTAGTGTCCTTGCTCTCACCACAAGCTGTCCATCTGCCAGTGTTGGCGTCTTGCTTTTCAATAACGTAGTGATCGATTTCTGCACCTAAAACGAACCCATTTTCAGTCACTGTTTGGTGAAGAGAAACTGGGTGCCCCCATACCTCCGTCATCATCTGGTTCCTTCCAAGCCAAATCACAACCCTCCTTGGTGACATTGCTAATATCAAGTGGTCCACGTGGTTCTCCAGGATGGTCCAGCACGGTTACTTTCAGCTCAGCGGTGTCCGTGCCGTTAACGTTTGTCGCAGTGATCACGTAGGTTCCTGAGTCGGAGCGCAGAGCCCTCTTCACGAGGAATTTAGTCTGAATAGAAGAGCTTGGGATGCGAGAACCGTCAGACCAAGACCGAAGAAGTTTTACCTTGTAATCTTCGTTGTTAATTTTGATGCGATCGTCTGAATCCACAGGTTTGTCCGCGAATGTCCAAGTGATATCTGGTGGTGGTTCGCCAGACACGGGAACAACCAGGTGAATCTCGTTTCCTGCTCTAACCTTGATCTCCGCCAAAGCGCTGCGGTCGATCTTTGGAGGAACTGAAACAGACAATGTTTCTCCTCACATTCTCGAATTATCGTGTGAATACTCACCATTTCTAGACTTTGCAGTGATCGTTTGTGAAGGATCCGATGGATCTCCGGTGCCAGCCTTGTTCTTGGCGCGAATTCTAAACTCATACTCGTGGCCCTCTTTGAGATTCGGTACAGTCGCTGTAGTCTGATCTCCAGGAACCTGAAAATCCGCAACACCGCTTTGAAAGCTAACAGCAATAAGGATAAAAGCTGTGGAGAAAGTGGCGAACCTGCAGCGCTTCTGTCCAGAACGGAGAGTGCTTTTCTTTCATTTCAATGACGTAGCCTTCTATTGGAGCGCCACCATCGTTTATTGGCGGATTCCATGTCAGGTCAGCGTGATCTTTGTCCCAGTCTGTGACTTCTGGAGCACTGGTCTTTCCAGGTTTGTCGAACGGATCTTTGGCAAGGGTCGATCCAAATGTCTCCAGAGGATCCGATTCTCCTTCGGCATTTACTGCCGCCACACGGAACTGAAATATCAAACATGAAATTTGTGTGAGCTGGAGGGGAGCAAAGGGTGTGCGTGAGCATCTCCACACACCACATTAGGTGGCACTTAACCAGAGGAGATGACAATGAAAGTTGCATTGCTATGATCGTAACACTCGGGGCAGAATGAGCCTCAGAGGTGCGGCCAGGAAGTGAGAGTGACGCTAACTTTGCTCTCCACCTGCAGCCAGGTACCGCCCGGGCGCAATCTGCGCGTCCCAGCCGCTTTCCTATACCTGTAATCCTACGGTGTACCCAGTTGTGTGCGTTCACGGCCCAACCCATTTATTCTCACGCGCAACTTTGAGGGTGCTGTATATGTTGTTTTCCTGTTTATAGTCCTGCACCAACAACATGTTGGCTTTGAGAAGGTAAGCTGTGTTCGAACTGTACTTCTCCAGCGCTCTTTTCATAAAAGCTATGCTTTCATAAAAACGAGAGTTTAGGCATAATTAGACCAAAAAGTGGGAGCCTGTTTTTGAATTCGAGCTCGCCAGAAGGCATGTTTTCCATTCAAATCCTGGAAATCCGGAAATCGTTTGTGGGACCCAAAAAAATATTCTGCTCTGTTGGTGTACTTGAGAATTTCCAATGGGAATAGGATAATTTCTCTATAACGAGCTTTGAGGACTAGTTTGCTCCATTTTCAAACCTTAGCGTGGTCTGTTCCTGTGAGCACGTCAAGTTCTTCAATGGCCCTATAAAGAATCAGAGAGAAGTTCCCACCTTATATTCGTGTCCAGGGATGAGTCCGTCGACAACGGCTGTCGTTTGACCTCCGGGTACTTTTGCAGCGGGCACCCATCGACCAGTGGCTGTGTCGAGCTTTTCGATAACGTAGTTGTCGATAGGAATTCCACCGTCATCATCTGGTGGTTTCCAGTCAAGAGTACAGTGATCAGCATGAACATCAGTCACATCGAGAGGTCCATTTGGAGGAGATGGCTTGTCTAGAGCAAAGTTACTTTACAACTGTATAATTCAATATAAATTTATCTATACCTATGACGGTGACTTTGACAGTGGCCTCGTCCACTCCATTCGGATTGACGGCTCGGATCGTGTACATTCCACTGTCGCCTCGCTCCATTTGACGAATATGTAACTTCGAGCGGTATTCGGGGTTATCCAGTTTCACTCTTCCTCCGTTTCGGATTTCACGATGATCTGGCCAGCTCCAAGTAGCAGGTTCGCCCTCAACAGGCACGTCCCATCCAATAGCTTGTCCTGCTTTCACCTTCAGCTCCTTCAGCGCATCACGGTCGATTTTCGGTGCCACTGAAATCGATCTTTCTTTGGGGTAGGGTGTTAGATAGACTTGGATCAACTGCTGAGCGTACTGTAGTAAGTAATGAAAACACCAACAAGAAAATTCTTACGATTGCGAGGCTTAGCGATGACAGGCTTGCTGGCATCGCTGGGATCAGATGGGCCTCCCTTGTTCACAGCGATGACACGGAATTCATACTCCTCATTCGGGGTCAAATCGGGCACAGTTGCTGTGGTTTGGCCACCAGGCACAGTGACTGCTGGCTCCCACCTGAACCACTTTGCTATTGTGACCACGGGAGATGTGCACGAATAACAGTGACTTACCTTCCATATTTGGTACGTTTTTCAATTTGGTACTCCTCAATGGGTGCACCACCATCACTGAGTGGTGGATCCCATTTCAGGTCTACATGGTCGCTGTCCCAGTCAGTAGGTTCAGGTTTTCCTGGCTTATCTGGGCGATCGAATGGATTCTTTGCCAAGATATCCGTATCGCTCTCAAGTGGATCGGAAGCACCTTCGCTGTTCACAGCCTAGATTGCAAATCAGTAAAAATATTTGTATTAAAATGTAAATATCCAACTTACTTTGACTCGGAATTTGTAGTGGTCACCCTTGTTGAGGGAATCAACGACAAACGAAGTGTCAGCTGTTCGTCCACATGGCACCCAAATACCATCCTTGGTGCTCATTTTTTCGATTTCGTAATGCTCGATTGGTTCACCACCGTCATCCTCTGGTGGCTTCCAGCTGAGTGTGGCACGGTCTTCGAACACATCTGTCACGTCCAGTGGTCCCTTAGGCTTCGACGGTCTGCCTTTCACTTTGATTGTGATTGTTACCGAATCAGTTCCACTATCGTTAGTGGCTGTGATGGTGTATTTACCACTCTGCTTACGCACAGCCTTAGGGATGTTGAATCTGGAGAGGTAGTCCTCGTTCTCAATTTGCGCCTGGAAAGTGATCTTACATGATTTTTTTTCGCTGATATCAATACCAGAACCCTGTACCTTGCTCTCTCCAATGCTCTTGTCATTGAATGTCCATCGGACGTCTGGAGGCGGTTCACCATCGATATGAATGTTGAACTTGATCTGCTGACCAACGCGGACAGTAGTGTCTTCCAAGTCTTCGCGATGAATGTGAGGAGCCACTGAATACGACAAAATTGATTTAAACCTCTTATTCGCAGTTGTTCTGCGTAAAAGGGCTGCATGAGTTCAAGGAATTTCGTTCCCAGAACCCTTCATATCCAAGAGCCGGAGTGGGCGTGACCGCGTTCTTCATTCGAGTGCGGCGTGAATGCGTTTCTCGAGGGATACTCTCATTGAAGTAACTGTCACCCTGTTTTCTGCACAACAAAGATGTTGTTACTTTTGTGCCCCAGAACGAACATATCCAAGCACCGCAGCGCTGGAGCCGCCATGTCCAAAAGTGTGTGGACACGCCCTCTCCATCTCCGGGAAATGGAGTGCACATAATTTGCGAAATGGCCTCAGGGAAAAAGTTGTCTTGTTGTGGGTGCGTGGAAGGTCAACTTTTGCTGACCGTCTACGAAGGAGGGTGGGGAGGGGCTGAGTTCGGCGCAGTGCCAGCCCGTTTTTCGACAATCACTCTTGCCCGCTTCGATAATTGCTGGAGAAGGCTACGTGACAACCTAATCTTTTCGTCATCGTTCTGTTGCGAAACCCTGTGACGCAGACAAAAGAGGGCAATTGCCGTCAAAACATCGGAGGGTGCAAAAGAGCATCTGGCGATCCAAGGAATACGCTGTCACAACAGGAGGGCGGGGGTGATTTTGGGGTGGGTTCAGCCACTTGTCGTGCGTGAAAAGCTGGAATGTGCAAGATCATGTGGAGCGCCTGAGAAGAAGGAGGGCATAGGAAAACAGAAAATCGAACCGGTCAAAGGAACAAGTTGCTTGTAGAACAGTGGAGAAAGGCTGGCGCCGCGCTAAACCCATTCCCAACCCGCCCCAGCATCTTTAGCGAAAACGGCTTCAAATAGTCCTGTGTTTCGTTCATTCCATGTAATATTGATTAATACTGTTCCAAACACTGGATTAGCTCGTAAGACGGAGAAACTCATAAATAGAGAGAGCGACGCAGGTTTGGCCCAGGAACTTTAACTATTAAATCAAGAAATGGGGTAACGTATATGCCAATAGAAAGCGGCAGTGTTCTCCTTATTAGATGAGAGCACTTTGCACTACTTCCTTAAGTTTCAGGAAATTGCTGGCTTAATCGACCGAACATACCATTTCACGAAGTCTTATAAAAAAAGGGGGAATATTCTTAGAACTACTTACAGAATCGCGTTTTAGCGATGATCTTATCAGATGGATCAGAAGGTTCGCCCAAGCCAGCTTTGTTCTTGGGAATGACACGGAATTGATACTCTTCGCCTTCTTTCAGATTTCCAACAGTAGCCGTAGTTTTATCTGCGGGTACAGTCATCACCTAAAACGTTATCGCTCTTAAAATTTTGTAGAGTGATGAGAATACTAAGCCTTTATAGTCTTACTGGTTCCCATCGTCCATGCTTGTCCTTTTGCTCGATCACATATTCCTCGATTGGTGCACCACCATCGTCTGCTGGTGGTTTCCATTCCAAGATCAGCATGATCCTTATCCCAGTCAGTTACTTGAGGCTTGTCCATTTTTCCAGGAACTTCGTAAGGATTTTTGGCAAGGATAGAATGATCAGTTGCCAGTGGATCAGATTCGCCCTCTTTGTTCACAGCTCGAACGCGGAACTGAAACATCAGAAAATTACCTGAACAACGAAAGGACAAGAGGAATTCGTAGATCCGTTCACACACCTTGTACTGATGTCCCGGTTGCAGATTGGTGACAGTGCTTTGGTGCGGCCTCGGACCGGCGGCCGAATGGTACCCATCTACCAAGTGGCTCATCTAGGCCTTTCGATATCGATAATGGTCAATGCGGCAGTCCAACGTCGTCGCTGTGCTGAATTCAGACATTTTAAGTAGGTCTACCCGAAGGGTGACTTTCCCCAAAAAGATTTACCTCCATGCCAAATCGGCAATTTCCTCGAACACATTGCTGACTTCCAAAGGTCCTTCTGGAGCGCTTGGTCGTCCGAGAACAATGACGTCAACGCTGTGGGTGTCCATACCACTTGCGTTCTTCGCAGTGAGTGTGTACTTCCCCGCATTAGCGCGAGTTGCATTTCGAAGCACCAAATTGGTCTTGTAGTCTTCATTTTCAATCTGAAACAAATGAGCCATCGGAACTATGGGATAAAAGTGGGGCACGTCTCGCCGCTGGGGAAAGTTTCCGAAAAATACGACCCTCCCTGATGCCCTCCTCTGATATGACCCGTCGCCTTTCCCATCCCACCTACCCTTTTTCCTCGATCCCAGCTGGCACCTCCCTGCCCCCTTTTTTTGTCCTTCAGGGATTCCTCCCGAAACTTTAGCACAGCGAATCGAAAAAAAACTGTTAAACGCCACCACCGGGAAAATTTTTACCCCAATGCAGGCAAATTTTCTCAAAGGCACCTCGCCCCCCCCCCGTCTTCCTCTACAGTGTCCGTGAAACAAGAAAGTCTACTATCGAAAAGGTTTCTCAGACCAAAGGCGACCCGCCCTCCCATAATGGCCTAAAACGACCCCTTCCCCCTCCCCAGCTAGGGCTCTCCACCCAGCGTATCGTTTGGAGTGTGCCTGATAAGAACCACAATCAAACTGTAACCGTACCTTGACCTTGGATTCATCAATCGGTTTATCTGCGAACATCCACGTCTTCTGTGGAGGAGGTTCACCACGGACAGGCACGTCGAATACGATGTCGTGTCCTACCTTGATTGTCATCGTCTTCATTTTTCGCGTCCCAAGTCCACGTTTCACTGAAAGAAAGGGTGTTCAGAAAGGGTCCCTAGAGTTGGTCCCTAGAGTGACCACAGGATCACTTAAACCCACGATTTCTGGGCTTGGCTATAACTTTTTCGGCCTTGGAATAGGAACGCCTCTCCAAGGAGCCAGCTTTGTTACAGCTTTTCACTCGAATTGGTACTCGCTTCTGGCCTTCTTTTAATACCAAAAATCGTGGCAGTAGTTTCATTCCTCCGGATACTCAATAGTTTCCTTCTCCTTGCAAAAAGTCATCAAAGATCCTAGAAAAGATATGAATACTGGCAAACTTCAAGGCCTGTGTCGATTGTTCGCCTACCTTTTGCCCATTCCTGCCAGTCGCGTCCGTGCTTTCCCTCTTTTCTCAATGATATACTGAGTGATAGGAGCTCCTCCATCAGAATCTGGTGGTTGCCACTCCAGAGAAACCCTGTCGCATTCCGCAACAGTCACAGCTTCTGGGTGTGCGGTTTCCAGGTTTCATCTATAAGATTATTCCATTAAACATTGTACTCGACTTAAATATTCTATATGACTCGGTTGGAGAAAAGAGATGTATTCTTAGACATACCGTAAGGATTTTTCGCCTTGGTTGCTTCTGTTGTAGTCAGAGGATCTGATGCGCCCTCCTTATTCACTGCCTTCACTCTGAACTGATAGGTCTGACCCTTCTTTCAGTGCACGTCAATTGACCGTGTCTTTCCCACAGAAGGCTGAATGATTCATTTATGTCCTCATGTTTTTGATATTACAGTTCCTTAGATTACCTTTGCGCAAGGTACCCAGCGTCCTGTGTCCGTGTCCAACTTCTCGACTTTTCAATATATACTCGATGTTCAACGCTCCATCGTCCATCTGAAAAATAGCACTGGACCTCAGAAACCTTGGCATCGTTGATGAGATCTAGAGAAAGTGCGTGTATAGTTTGGCCGCAACATCTGAGGGGTTAAGGACACCAGAACTGACTGCGAAGATAAGGAATACGCAAAAACCGTCTTTCAACTAACAAAGGTCATCAAGACCGAAGGTGTGAGGACTTTTTACTTGACTTCCAATGTAAATAGGCTAGAACACTGGATTTTGTAAGTGCTGAGCAGATTACCAGTGAGCGGAGAATGAAGGATTGCCGTCACACAGCATTAATGAGCATCGCTGCTGTGATTAGAGTGCAGAGATGCTTATTCCATGAATGAACCACCAGGCAAAGGCGCGGGGGGGGCGTTTGGGTGGAGAGTCATACAACCTTATCAGGTTGAAAAAATCTCACACAGTAGTTGAGTGAAACTTTCGTCCCAGTAAGGCAAACGTCGTATTCGCGATGACGCGCGCGTCGACGCGCTGTAGCACGCGTCAACGCGCTACGATTGCAACAGCGCCTTAAGGCCATAGACGCGAATGCAGCCGGAGACGGCTGGTGCCAATCGGTTCCCATCTCGATCGATGCGCGCCTGCCGCCTGTGTTTCGAGAGTGTATGAGGGGATGAGTTGGTAGATGTTGCCTAGTTACGCAGACTGATATCAATTGACACTAGCCCTGTGGCTGCATCCGCGTCTATAGCATTGGAGAATAGTAGTGCGTCGACGCGCGTTATAGCGCGTCATCGCGAAGTACCACTGTATAAGGGCAAGGTCGCCGGCTAAAACGCATACCAGCTCGTCAATTGGCCCCCCCCCAAAAGCATTTCGGATTGGCCAAAGTGGCATAATCTATGCGGCTGCGACCCTTTCCACCTCTTAAGTACTTTCGAATTCTGTCGTTGAATCGTGGTTCGGTTGTCGTTCTAACTCCATTTGAGCGCTCTATACGGATTTCAGCAGAAAAGAGAAAAGCGGATCATCCGGAAATTAAACATACCCTAACTGAGGCTTGAATCTAAAAATGCGCTCTTCAGTAAGTACCATATCGTTTGACCCATTGAGAATCTTTCCCCTGCTGCCCGAAAAACAGTTAGGTATTTCTGTACGGCTTCTTCTCACTATCATTATGACGAGTAAGGTTTCCTATGCGTACATTTTCGTCCGTTTCCGAGGACGATTCAACGATATTTGGATAGCCTGAGGAATACCCCCAGGCTATCCAAGTCTTGACTTCCCGAATCACTCCGAGCGTAGCTTCGCTCGTCCGTTGTTTGTCCAAGTTTTTGAGAGATTGTTAAGAAACTCATACGCGCAAACAAAAGCGAGAAATAACTTGCCAGGAGGTTTCCATGCGAGATTGCAATTGTCCTCAAAGACATCTGTCACTTCCAGAGGACCATTCGGCTTTGATGGTCGATCCAGTACAGTCAAGTTTGCCACTTCTGTATCGTGACCATATGCGTTTTTCACGGACAGTCTGAAATATGATAAATGTGTCATGTGCTTGAGAACGGTCCCCACCTCGACCTGTGAGGTCGTTCTAACTGTAGTATAGGTCGCAATTACTTACCGGTACTCTCCCCTATCGGCGCGTACTGCTGAGGGAATGCACAAAATAGTGTGGTCGTTTTTCTTGGTGTCAATGCTAAGATTGAGTGATGGCTCGATCGGTTTGTCTCCCTTGGTCCAGACTACTTCTGGCACGGGTTCTCCACCAATCTTCACTTCCCAACGAACGGAATGACCAGCTTTTACGGTGATACTCTTCAAGCAGTCGTGCTTCAACCAGGCAGGAACTAAAACACAAACATTACTAGATGAATTAATGGAAATCGAACCTGTCAAAAAATCATGGAGTTGATCACACCTAATGCCGGCGCTGTTTGTCGACGGGGGGCATTTTGTATTATCATTGCTTCCCTAGTTCCGGTTTACAAATCTCACTCTGGTAAAACTTGTGAACTCTTGTGAAGCTGAACTAAGATCGTCTAGCCACTATCCTAAAACGTGTCAACTCGAGAAACGGCTGCCTAGATGGGTCGACACATCTATGGAAAGCAAAATGCCCCCCCCCCCCGTCGACAAACTGCGCCCCAATGCCCTCTGCTAACAAGAATGCTTGTAAGAAATGCCTCAAACAGAACTCCAGGGATTCGAAATATTTCACTGGGCTCACATTCGGCTGGAGGTCGCCTAGGGGTGTTCTTACCTCCTTAGCACAAATATTACATACATTGGAGCGAAAATTCCTCGCACTATCGTCTCGAATGTATTCGCTGCCAGTGGATATGGGATTCGTGTTAAAGACAGTGGGCAGGAATGCTGGGGATAGGCGGTTGTCGCCCCTGTCATTGGTGGGAGAGCTGAGTGGGTGTGACAGTTGCGTTAATGGGTGCGAAAATCAGGTAGAAAAGCAATAAGTGAATACTGGGGATAGACTCGGATAGAAATACAACCTAAAGCGAGTCGTACGGGGTGATTGGTGCCAAAACGTTTGTTTCCACCAATGATTAAAACTCTCGTGGTGCAGAGTGAAATGTCAGAAAAGGCAGAAAATGATGATATTTCTCGATAAGCAGGAACTTACTGAATTTCGGCTTGGCCAGCTGCTTTTCGGATGCATCGGATGGATGTCCCAAGGCCAGCTTTGTTGAATGCTTTTACTCGGAACTGATACTCCTTTCCTTCTTTTAGTCCTTTGATTGAAGCGTTTGTGTCTGAGATATTCATTTGGAAAAATGCACGTTCACATATGGGGAAGCTGTTGATCAAAAAATATACCTGGAACTTTGGCGATTTCTTTCCACTCCTTCGTGTCGGGATCGCGGACTTCAACAACGTAGCCCTCAATAGGTGCTCCGCCATCTTTTGTTGGAGGAGTCCAAGCCAAGTCAATTCGATCTGCATCGTAATCGGTGACCTCTGGCCGTCCAGGCTTTCCAGGTTCATCCCATGGGTCCTGAACAGTGTGCGTGGGTTCTGCTAACAATTTGTCGACAAAGAAGGGAAAGAAAAGGAAAATGAGTACAAAGCTACCTTTATCAGCGTGTACTGATCGGCTGTCAAGGGTTCAGATTCGCCCTCGTTATTCAC